TGCTGGGAGTGGCGCTGAGTGGGAGCCGTTTGCAAAATGGCACTGAGTGTGCTGCTCACCTGGGAGAAAGCATGGAGACCCACAGGCTATAGTCAGCACTGCAGGGACATGGGCGTCTGAGACAAGGCCCCTGTCCTCCAGGAGCCCATGGTGTTTTGGGAGAGCCAAAACCAAGGCTCAGGCTGTGCAGAGGCTTCAGTGGTCAGAGTTGAAAAGGTAGTTTGAAAGGTGGAAAATATTTTAATGACCAAACAATGACATTCTTCTTCTTCCAGGTGATAGGATTCCCAATGGATATCATTTGTGCCAAAATGAATGCAAGAAAGTATGCGTGTGTGAAAATGGATGCATGTAGGAGGGCAAAAGACAAGAATGTGTTTACAAAAAATATATTCATGGTATTGCATGTCTGTGTGCATGTGTGTGCCTGTGTGCATGCATGCTCATGTCTGTGCATGTGCACATGTGCAAGCATGTATATATGTGCATATGTCCTCAAAGGTAAGTGTGGGTGTGTGTGGACAAGAGGCTGAAGGAGGTCATCCCTATGTGGGACCTCCACTTTTCCTACTTTCATTCTGTCACTGTTACCATCCTCTTTGGCCTCCAGGGAAGGAGAGGGCCCTTTGTCTAGTCTTTGAGTCCCTGAGTTCAGGGTCAGCCACCTCCTATCATGTCTTCCTCAGCTCCCTTGAGGCTATGAACTTCCTCTCACACCAAAACATGAAATTTCCAGATATCAGTGTAATGGGCTGCTTGGCTTTTTGCCATCCCTCATTCTTTCTGCATATGAGACCTGCCCCTCCAGTGTCAGCCTATAGGCTGCCTCTTCCTGCTGAGAGGCCACATGCCTGGGTGTACCCACTGGGATTGAGAGAAGACAGGTCTGGGAGCCTGGAGCTGAGCCTGGGCCGGGGCTTGCGGAGCCTAGTTTGTGTCTTCCTGGCTAGGACTCCTGTTAATTTAAAGAGTGCTGGGCTGGACGATTTGGAGAGACCAGGCCCCCTAATTCAGGCTTGTGCCAACTCCAGGATATCTGAGCATGGCTATGCCTTGCTTCCCTTCCAGGGCATGACACTCACCACCATGGATTTACACCCTGGATTGTGAGATTTATTCATGAGTGATTCTAGGGGTAGCCAGGTGTTAAGGGAGCATTGGGCATTCAGCTTGAGGCTTTGGAAATGTTACTCTTCCTTTCTTCGTTTTCCCTTCTATAGGACATGTCCGACCATGACTGACTGCAGATGGCCAGGGTGCTGTTAGCACTTGAGAGGTGTGCTACTTTCTCTACATCAGACAGCCCTCACATCAGGAACATAGGTCCCCCAGATCTCTTTGAGGAGATAAGAGAAGTCTTATCGTCTTCTCTTTTGTCTCTGGGGCAGGGGCTGCACCTGCCATGGTAGGCTGCCTTTCCACGGTGATGCAAAGGTGTCAGAAAGGCGTGTCTGCCTCCCACATCCCCCTAGGGTACCTACAACCCCAATAACTCAAACTCTGGAGTCCCAGAGACTTCTCCTAATCTTGCTTATGTCCCTCACTAGCTGTCTAGCCTAGGGCAGACACTTCTCTCTGAGCCTCAAGATCATCATCTGTAAAATAATAGCAGCCACAGTGCTGGTGTAAAGGATAAATGAAGTAATGCATGGAAAACACAAAGTAATTACTGTATACATGTGAAGTGTTTTGGGGTCTTCATGAATAAGGTCTTTTCAGGCACCAATGAGCTCCCAATAAAAATGCCCAGAGATATCAAGGAATCACTTGAGATGCTCCTGACAGCAGGATTAGAAATAAAGAGAGGCCACCAAGCTGAGCATGCCAGTGCAAAAGCGGTTGCCAGCTTCCTCTGGCTAAAGCCACTGAACGGAGCTGGCGGGCGTGCTGAGCGCTGTCCGTGGTGCTGAACGCCACATTTGGCTCTGGCAGACCCTGGCTTTCAGAGATCTGTGCAAGTATCTGGCAAGGAGTAAGGAAAGTTGTCCAGGAGGTAAAGGGCGGCCTCCAAAACCCAACTCCTCTCACCTCATCCAGAAGCACTTTCCAGGCCTCACCCTTCTAGGCCACTGGGATCCCGTTTTTATAGACACCTGGGCTCCTTGGGATGGTTCTTACATCATTACCCAATTGTCTTCCATCCAAGCCTTGTCCTCTGACCAGACCATGAGTCTCTGGAGGTGAGGGCATCTGTGTGCTGAGGCAAATAGGTCTGTCATCGGATTGCTGTGGAGACTCTGTAAGCTAACCCTTGCCTCCTGCTACCAGCTCTCCTGGCTCTGTTACAGGCTCCTCTGTGATCCCACTCCCAACAGATGTTTTGCTTTGGCTCTTCTCTAGGAGATTTGATCTTCCTCTCTCTTACCTCTCCTGCAAATTTATTGATTTGAATGATTTATTTACTCATTTCATAATATAGCTGGGCATAGGTCAGAGCATTTGACAGAAATCAATTGATTTCCTCCTTATGACAGTGCTGCTGGTCAGTGAGCAGATAAGAAAACTGAGGCATGGCATGGTAAAGTGACTTGCTAGTAAACAATGGAGCAGGAATCGAACCCAGGTTGGCTGGCTCCAGGGCCCATCCCTCCTCCAACCATGTTATGCTGTCTCTCCAGCAGCTCTCTGATATTCCAGGGTAGCAGTTTTTGGGGAAGAATGCTCCAGGACCCCGACCCCAGCCCAGATCAAGTGCTGGAAATATCCCTGAGCATCTGGAAGCTGAAGATTGAAACCATTAGTCAGAGTGCGAGGAAATGGGTGTTTTTGCCTTATGCAATTTAGTTTTATGAAGACCACTAAATGCAAACATTCTCCTGTTAATTACTGTCTCAAATTTGAACTGTAATTGAGGGAACTAGAGCTGGGGAGAGCGTAGAAACCCGTTGCAGTGACAGGCCTGCCCAAGTCAGCATTCCCAGACGCCTTGCACCCGCTCTGTTAATTTTAGAAACTCCTCCAGCCTGGGTGTATTATTAGCTTTATGTACAGAGGGCTACATGGCCTTCAGTGGACTTTCTATGCACAGTTTAAAAAATTTGTTTTCTTTTGTTTTTCCCAAGAGGTTAAATGAAGAGAGATGACAGCAGAGTGTACAGAGGGGTGTTTGTGCCCTGTGCATGTGAATGGGGATACCTGTGTGTGGTGTCTAATGAGTGTACACAGCTGTCTTTGAGTGAGTTTCGTGTGGCTGGGTAGAGTGTTCCTGGCTCTAGGGTGCCCCATAGATGCTGAAACCATTCTCCTGGGGCCCATGACTCATTAGCAGATGTGCTGTGTTCTTTGTAGTGAAGTGTGAAGCTGAGGGTGGGTCCTCAGGCCTTAGCTGGGTTCTCTCAGCTGGCATATGGGTATTGGTACCACAGAAAGGAGTGGTAGGTCAGGGGGTAGAGAGGAGCTGAAGTTGGCCTCTTGGCACCTGGCCTTATCCCCCATGAGGCCCTGTCTTGAGGCCCTGAAGGGCTTGGCTTTAAGCAGAGCTGCAGGAAGCTGACTCTGGAAACTGCTCTTCGCCATGCAGGGTGATGTAGGACAGACGTCTCACCTGCCTTCAGTGAAACAGGCCCTACCCCCTCCTTGATTTACAGCCCCTCCTTGACTCACTTTTGAGTCTGGCAAACAAACAGACAATTCGCTGTGAAGTAATTTCTTTGCAAACCCGGAACTGCGCAGGTAGGGCACTTTGGTTTACGGTAGGACCCTATGAAGACTCGAGGAAAGCTTATCTCTTTCTTTCCCACTTGCTTCCTCCTGGCTTCCTTGCAGTAAAGAATCAAAGACGGCGGAAAGGTCATTTCTCCTGGGAGAAGACATGCTTATTTCTGCCTGACTTAATACCTTTATCTAGTATTGTGTAACTGTCTAAATTAACAGCAAAAAGAAACAGCTCTTCAGTGCAAGTTTTTGGTCTTGGGGCCAGCCCTAGGATGGGTGGTACCTGGTCCCTGGGAATAATTGGCTAAGCCTTCTGGATTGGGGTCTTGGCTACCTATGGTGTTTTCACACTCCAGAAGGCCCCCTGCTTGGTGAGTTGGGAGAAACCCAGCGTAGACCTGTGAGTTGGCGTTGTGCCTCCTTCTCATGCTGCTCAACCTCTCTGAGGCTTTGCCCTGAGACTCCCTCTGCGAAGGACTTGAAGGTGCCTGAGGCCTTAGGAGAAATGATTCTGGAAGCCCTGGGCTGGTCTCTTTCCATTGCATTGAGTGGTACCTCACTGGTGCCTGAAATCCCCCCATTAAATCTTCTGCTTTTGAAGTTCTCTCTCCCCCTCCACACCCCCATGTTGGGATGCAAGCCTCTGAGGGAAGGAGATGGTTAGACATTTTCTGATTATCAGGGATGGACTAAATAAGGGTGCTAGAGAACCAGTGTGGGAGAGGGCCAGATCAGAATGATAGGACTCATTGCACAGTAGGGAAACTGAGACCCAGAGTAGGGGGGCCCTACCGGATGTCACACAGCATGTTGATGACAAAGCTGGGGCTGGAGCCTGAGCCTCATGCCTCCCAGGCACTTGCTTCCTGTCTGCACCTCCCCTGCTCTTTTGTTGTGGTCTGTGGCATGTTTCCCTGACAGCCCATCTCAAGCCACAGCTGACCCTCAGGGAGAATGGGGCAGCCTAGCCTGAGCCTGGGGTGGTGTGGGGTGAGCTGCTGCTTTTGCTAAAGCAGCCTTTTGCTTCTCTCTGAGTGTGACTGATTTGCTTTTCAGCCTGACTCTCCCTGTGGGGTGGGGACAGGAAGACGAAGCTTGTCATTGGGGGTCTGGGGAACTCACAGAAGGGCAGCACGGAGGGTATCCTTAGTGAATGAAGAGCCTCTTACCACATCATTCCCTGTGCCAGTCTCCATATCTTGCCCTGGTACCCTTGTGCCTATCTTCCTATCTCAGAACCTCCCAAGACTTCTCTCTCCCTGTTGCTGTCCCTCAGACCTTCCTCCCTTAGTCTGTTACCTGTCCTCTCTCTCCTCCTGGTGACTGACCCCTGTGTCTCTGGGCAGATTTTACTGGGACCTGACCATGCTGCTCCTGATGGTGGGAAACCTGATCATCATTCCTGTGGGCATCACATTCTTCAAGGATGAGAACACCACACCCTGGATTGTCTTCAATGTGGTGTCAGATACATTCTTCCTCATCGACTTGGTCCTCAACTTCCGCACAGGGATCGTGGTGGAGGACAACACAGAGATCATCCTGGACCCACAGCGGATTAAGATGAAGTACCTGAAAAGCTGGTTCATGGTAGATTTCATTTCCTCTATCCCTGTGGACTACATCTTCCTCATCGTGGAGACACGCATCGACTCCGAGGTCTACAAGACTGCCCGGGCCCTGCGCATCGTCCGCTTCACGAAGATCCTCAGCCTCTTACGTCTCTTACGCCTCTCCCGCCTCATTCGATATATTCACCAGTGGGAAGAGGTGAGTGGTCAGTGCACATCTCTTGGGGGATAGGCCATCCCCTCCAGAGCGGGTGAGGAACTGGCAGGGAACCTCAGGTCACTGGGCATGGGCTGTCAGATTGTGGCAGGCACACCTGCTCCAAGAGGACAAATACTAGTAATTTCTTGACCTCTTATCATGTGCTGGATACTTTACATGCAGTATCTCAATGAAGTCCATAACATCTATAGAGGGAACCATAGAGGGAACCATATAGGTACATGTATATACTCATTTTTTACTTACATGAAGAAGCAGAGACAGAAAGATTAAGTGACTTATACAAGGTTGCACAATTAGTAATTTGTGAACCTGGAATGTGAACTTAAGCTGATCACCTCCAGAGCCCACCTTGTTAACCACTGCATTATGTTGTAGGGTTTGTAAACCTATAAGCTTGTTGGGGACAGGCAGGGAATGGGGATGGTTTGAAAGGGCCAGTTGGGGGACAGTAGACAGTGTGGTGGATGAGAAGAACTAGAGAACATATCCTCCGTCTATATTGGTGGCCTCTATGCAGCTCCAGCTGATTTTTGTCAAGTAGGAATGGGCCCAGGGTTGCTAGATCTACAGCATTATGAGAAATGGAAGTCTGGATTTTTGTACAAATTTTGTTGTCAACTATCTTAGCTTGGGGTCTTCCTGAGCAGACCCTGAGACAAAGATTTGCATGAAAGTGATTTTTTTGGAGATGCATTCCCAGGAAAAACTGGTAAGGGGCTGGCAGAGAGGGACATGGACAGGCAGGAAGCCAAGCAATGGTTGGACATTGTTGGAGGGCATTGTTGGAGGGCAGTTTGGCTCAGCCCCACGGGGATCTGGGGATGGTGTGTGCCACACCTTGGAGTTGCCCAATCAGGGCAAGGGAGTTGGGATTTTTCTATCCCCTTACCTGTTCAGGGCACCGCCCTCCCTCAGGATTCATAGCCAAAGCAGTTTCCAGCAGCCTCTGACAAATGGTGCGGCCGCTGGCTGTAGAGGGTGAAATCACGTGGGCAGCCTGGAGACTTGTGCTCAGAAACTGTAAAGGATCCTAGGGGCTGTGGACACCAGCTACAGGAGGAAAATAAAACATTGAAAAAGAACTGGGTGGGCCAACTCCGTTCTGAACAAACCTCACTGATCCGTGGGCTGAAACAGTCGTCTACAGCAAAGGAGCTAAAAGCCGCACTGGGAGGAAGAGCAGCTGACCTTGCCAAGTGCTTCGGTCTGTGTCTGCCACCCACCCAAGTTACACGACTTGGCAGGCCAGCCTGGAGGCCCCACTGTCTCTGTCAGGCAGCCCACCTTGGGGTCAGGGGGACTGTGGGCTGGACAAGCTTCTGTGAAGGGTCATTTCCCACCCCATCTCTGTGCCACGTGACTGACTTCCCAGCTTCCAGGACCCTGGTTGCCTGGGCAGAAGTTCCCATGCTCAGGACATGAAGCCCCCCATCCCTACCCCCACCCCCAGCAGCCGCCTGGGCCTTGGCTGGCAGTCCCCATGGCTGATGGTAGAGGCGCAGGCAGATTCAGGTCAGAGGCGTCATGAACACACGTGCCATGGGAGAAGTGTGTGCACCAGTTTGGCAGTGTCGCTCCATGGCAGAAATTCTCTTTGGCTTGGAAAATTTGCATTACTTATGCTGACAGAGAGGGGCCACGACTTCCCCAAGGTCATGCCGTTAGACCTCTGGTAGAACTGGGGCAGAATCCAGCTAGCTCTCTTGGTCCCCAGCATATAGTGTGGGCTGTCCCTGTCTGGTGAGTGGAATGGCACATTTAAGACCCGAGTTAAAATCCCAGCTCCACACTGCCTAGCTTTGGGTCCACTTTGCCTCTCTGTGCCTCAGTCTCTTTATCTGCAAAATGGGTATAAGTAGTACCTGATGTTTATAAAGCCTTAGCATGAACCCTGGTGCAGAAGAATTGTTTAATATATGTCCCTTTTGGCCAGGTGTGGTAGCTCACACCTGTAATCCTAGCACTTTGGGAGAGACTGAGATGGGTGGATTGCTTGAGGCTAGGAGTTCAAAACCAGCTTGACCAACATGGTGAAACTCTGTCTCTACTAAAAATACAAAAAAATTAGCCAGGCATGGTGGCGGGTGCCTGTAATCCCAGCTACTCAGAATGCTGAGGTAAGAGAATTGCCTGAACCTAGGAGGTGGAGGTTGCAGTGAGCCGAGATCACACCACTGCACTCCAGCCTGGGCAACAAGAGCGAAACTCCATCTCAAAAAATACATATATATGTGTGTGTGCGTGTGTGTGTGTGTGTGTGTGTGTGTGTATATATATATATATATGTATATATCCCTCCCTACCCAGTTGTCTTAGTAGCATTTCCTTGGTTTCTCACACCTCGCTGGCAAGAGAAACAGGGCAAGGTATTTATCCCCATATGTCAAATGAGGAAACCGAGGATCAGAAAGGCCAGCTGCCCCAGTTGTAGGGATTTTGGCCTGGGCCTCCTGTCTCCTGGTACCATGCACTTCCCGCTTTCTCGGATGGAAGGGGAATGACTTTGATTCTATTACTGTTCCCTCTCATGGCTGGGGTGCCTCCATGGGGACTGGACTTCATTCAGTCTAGCCAGTGCTTGCTGGGCACCCACCTGTGCTGTCCTGGGTGGGCACTGCGATCAAAGGACCAGGATGACTGCTGGCAGAGAGTGGGAGGCAGTGGCTGGGGAGGAGATCTGTGCGACAGGTCGAGTTGCAGACACCTGTGGGACAGAGGTGTGCACAGATGTGGCAGGTGGTCTGAGCTGAGGGCTGAGACGGGACAGTGGCTCTGGAGGGTGGTGGCTGGGTCCACTCTGAGGGGCTGTGAAGGAAGGATGGAGGCATGTTTCCCCTCACTCCCCGACACGCTTTTTTCCTTGTTTCCATCCCAGATGGAAATGTAGGACCAGGTTGGCTCCCTCAGACCCTGAGAAACCCCCACCCTTCTGTGAGTCTTGGACCCACAGCTAGACTGTCATGGAAGGCAGAGACGTGCCAGCTCTTTCCCTCCTCTGGCATCCATTTGTGTCTCCAGGCCTCAGCCCTACCCCAGGGGCCGACCTTACTCCTCCAGGGCCTGGAGGCTGTGGTCTTTTGTAGGATTTGGTAGAGATGCCAGTGGCTGTGCAGGGTGAGTCCTGGGGCAAAGCTAAGCTTGTCTTTCATGTCCCCACGTTATGCATCCTGGGAGCTCAGGCCTGGGGCTCCTGTCCCCACTGCCAGCCTGGCCTGGCTACCCTCTGGGCCACCCAGAACTGGTCAGGCACTGGTCCTGGCCATTCTGATGGGGAGGCAGAAGCCCCAGAGGCCTTGGGTCAGGCCTCTGAACTGGACGTGCCGCCCCATCTCACGGGCAGGAAGGAGATCCCAGGAGGCCAGATGGATGACTCTCGCCCTTCCACACACACCCTTATCTCTCCTACCAGCTGGGGAGAAAATTGCTTTGAGCTAGTTTCTGCCGGGCACACCGCCCAGCCTAGGGCTCTCACTGAACCTCTGGTAATGGGTTGGGGTTTCCCAGCTGGCCCCAGGAACCCTGTCTCCAGGACCGTAACAGGCTACTCCAGCCCAGGGGCTTCTCCCCACTCTGCCTGGCCCAGAGGCAGCAGCAGAAAGACCCTTTGAAGCCCTAGGTCCACATGAGAGCTGGGGAGAGAAGTATTCAGTACAGAAATCCTGCCCTAATCTCCTCTTTCAAGTCCCTCTGTGAGTCTCTTTCCTCCTTTGGGCCTCAGTTTCCCCACTTGTCAGGTACATGCTGATGTTCTCTGAAGCTGTGGCTCCCTGGGGCCCAGTCCCCAGCTCCCATCTCGCTTGGCGAAATTTATGTTAGCTGATCCTGAAGACCCTGTGGTAGCTCACAGGGCATGAAGGAGGATGCCCTGGGGTGGGGCTGGAGAGCTTACCTCCCACAGACTGGGGAAAGCTCGCTCCAGGCTGCTGCCTGGTGAAGCTGAAAGAAGCTAGGCTCTTGTCCCCAGGCTTCCACTGCCTCCCCTGGCCGGGCCCAGACCAAGCCCCCAGGAGATCCCCTAAGTGCTGGTGGCAGTGAGGCAGTCTTTTGAATCAGCATAGGTGGAGTGGTCTAGGGCAGGCATGGGCCGCCATCTTGGATGCCAGTTTCTGCCTCCATTCTGGGTGATCTGGGTCAGCAGACTCCCTCCCTAGCCTCTCCAGCCACGTCTCCTCCCTCCCTCCGAGGTGTGAGCTTTTTCCAGGCATAGAGGCTATTGTTAGAAACCATGGTTACCCCTTACCCTGCAAGGCCCAGCACTTCAGTGACCCATCCCAGAAGCTTCTCTCCCTCAGCAGCCTGAAATAGCCAAAGAGGGGCTGGAGGCAGGAGGCCAGCCGGGGCTGCTGTGTGGCCTCTGATGAGTACCCTCGTCCGGTGGGCCTTGATTGCCTAATCTCAGAATCAGGTGCTTGGCATCTTTGAGAAGTGGAGATGACGCGGAGGGGTGGTCCTAGGGCGTGGGTCCCAGCCCTGTCTCCTGCGCCCAGGAAGGGACCCAGTGTGACCCTCAGTGCAGCCACCTTCAGGCTTCACCCGGGTTGCACATGCACCAGCTGCTCCGCCAGGCCTGGGATTGCCGTCTTCAACACAGACACTTGTTCTTGAGACGCAGGTGGAAGTTGGTTGTTCTTCCATGAGGAGAAAATGAATCCACAGGCGGGGCATTCAGTCAGGAAGAGGCGTTGGTGGAAAGAGCGGCAGCCTGACCTCCAATTTCTGGTCTCTCCTCAAGACTGAGAAATCAACTCTTTGTTTGGAGGGCTACGAAAGAGAGGGAAAGAAAGGAACCAACATGTCCTGAGTGCCTACCCTGTGCCAGTGGTGGCTATGGTCTCACCTGACCCCCATGGTAGCCCTGAGAACTGGCAATTACTGACCTATTCCACAGCTGAGGAAACTGAGGCTTAGGGTGGAAAAGGCAGTTTCCACCCATGGTGGAAGATGTGTGGCTCTGTCCTTGCACTGCAGTTGAGAAA